TAAGCTGACCAATGAACAGGAGGGAGCCAAAGTTGTCTCATCTCGCTTCTCGGCTGAAACAAGGTAACAGTGTTGCCCCTACCAAATTGAGCAGTGCCAGCTACAGTTTTTAATGTCATAGAAAATTAAGCTGACCAATGAACACTACGGAGCCAAAGTTGTCTCATCTCGCTTCTCGGCTGAAACAAGGTAACAGTGTTGCCCCTACCAAATTGAGCAGTGCCAGCTCCCTACAGTTTTTAAAATACCTCTACTGGGGAGATTTCGACCTCTTGAACACAGCAGGATCAACTGGTTCACTCAGTTAAACAGGTGGTGAAGAACCAGCGTTCAGTTTGGGGCACTGCTGACGATGTTGACTGTGATGCTGAAAATGGTGATGAGGATGATGATGACGGTGGCAGTGATGATGATGATCATAATAGTGAGAGATATGGTTAATCAGGCCTAGCTAAGAGTGAGACCAATAATGGTGGTGGCTGTTGTTCCTACTGCAACCGGCCCACTCGCCAGTAGCCAACTCGATTACATGAACTAAGCTACAAACGATTTCGTTCAACACCACGTCCACCATTGATTGACAGCACTTATTGGTGAATGCACGGACGCTATCGTCTGCTGTTGGCAGCGCACGTGTTTCGCTATCACACACTTGGTTCCGCAAATAATCGCCACGGAATTACTTGAAATGCATGTACGTACACCTGCCGTAAGAGTTACAGCCCAAACTCATACACTGCCTCCTGGCAGAAAAAATCCTTCCGCCACTACAGCTTCAGAGTAAGTGACCGTAAAATGAGGACCTAAATGGCGATCCTAAGTTGTGTTCGACAAGGTAGATTCTCGAAAACATTCGACAGTTGAATACCCCAGCTAGAATGAATCGATATAAAGTAAAACGGATTGTAAGCTAATGTTCTGGATGAAAAATGTGGAAAGTGACTGTATTCTTTTGTTATAAAGCGAATAGGCCGCTGAAAAGAGGGGAAGCTGTATATTACTCTGATCCGAGCGATGAGCCCCGCAGCAGAAACATCTGAGTAAATTCGAACACTAGACTGGGGAGACGGTCGACTGCAGTTTAGTTGAAACATTCATGTTACTCAGGCGTGAACATCTGCGTATTCAAACGTGATAATTCGGGCGCATCCATCGCACGCCGATAAAGCGGTGTAACACTCTAGCCTCGCATTTCAGGCGTTCGGAGGTCAAAGTCCTGCACAGCAATGCTTCTGAGTTCTGATAAGATTAAAACTCTAGTCCAGTGTTTTCCCTTTAGTGCTAGTCGCGCCAGGACAGGAGGGGTATTGTTCAAACGACAGTCATGTGGACGAAAATTGCAGCAGCTTTTTACTCTTAGGCCTGCGCTTTATGAAACAATGGGTATTCGTGATGACTTATCTAATATATTATGTCTTCAAATTAGGGAAGACCAGTGAAGTGAAGATAAGGTATATGGTCTGCAATGAACTGACGGTAGTCAACTCAAACGACTGACCGGTTCAATACATTGGGACCATCTGAAAAGTGTGGACTGGATCGGTCTAAAGAACTGTCCAGTGTGTCTTGTGGTCGGGTTTGGCAATAAATCCGTGTGGACGCGTCAAATCCACTTGTTGGTAAAGTGAGTGAATCTTTCAAGAAAGGGTGTGCCTTGATTTTTACCAGAAAATCTGTATAATATCCAATGAAATCGTGTTCGTTGGTTGTTAGCTGCTTTAACACCTTGGGAATTTCTAGAAAAGCTCGTCTAGGTCTTCCGCAACGCCTGACCCTTATGTTCAAATTATTGTCATTCCTCAAATTCCCGGACGTTTGAGTTGTTACTTCAATGTCATACATTTTAATTTAGCATCCCTAAGGTTGTTTACAGGTAACAGTTGAATTTATCTCAATATGGTAATCTGATAAGGCGATGGGCCGCCCTCACAATATAACTCAGGTATTGTAAGCGTGGTATTTTTAACGGTTGTCTCAACGTCCAACTGAAACTACATGAGGGGGACAGGCTGCTCTGGGAACATATAACTCACCTTGGCTTCAGGATACGTTTCCATGATTTGTCGGTAGGCACTGCTTCCCGGCTGATCTGTTGATGTTCGATACCCGTGGAAAATGCGTTTGAACAGTTCCGGTGGGATTTTTTCATTTGGATTTTCCATGATTGAGTTGAAAATTTTTATCCAAATGGGAATGTGTTCAGGGTGGGCATAGATGACTTCAACCATATGATAGCAGGGCTTGCCGTAGAGTATCTGCAGTGCTGTCTTTGAGTGGAAAATTTTTATACAAATGGGAATGTGTTCAGGGTGAGCATAGATTATTTCAATCATATGGTAGCAGGGCTTGCCGTAGAGTATCTGCAGTGCTGTCTTCAGAGTCATTGTCCCGGTTCGCGCAAAACCAGCGCCGATGACCAACAAGCCCTCTGCGGAAGGCGCTTCTCCAGTCGATTCCTGAGAACTGAATTTGTATATGGGAGCATTAGGAAACGACTGTCAAAGACTGTCGTAGATGTGAGCTAAACTCCTCAGTTTGCTGACTGTTCAATGGCTATTTCTGCGAGTCCACCTTTCGAATCTCGGGCGGGACACGATGACCAACAAACAAACATCCGTCCCGGGGTATTTTACTGAGATGTAAGACAGCAAATTTTCAGATGAGCTCCATGATAATCTGCCGTCCTTCCGCACGGACCCATAGGAAGAAGTGCATTCGTTCAGGATGATACGATTCCCATTCGTTAACTGGAATAGGTCTTCAGTTCAGACACGCATTGTGGGTCGATCAAAATTAATTCGTTCAGTTGTAACATCCTTCCGATGCCTAGTTGCCATACCACCCGAAGGAAGTGCGAGGGTTGGGTGCTAGCTAGGTTGCCCAACCCTAAACAAGGAAGTCGAAAGACAGAGGTTGTGTTCGAACCACGGACATTCTGGTCAGGAAATTCGCACTCTAACCATTGAGCCATCTCGCCCTAAATATTAATTAGCCTCAGGTATTTTCGGACAGCCCTAACCGTAAAATAACGTTATAACGTGTGCTTGAGTGCTAATCTCCATCGGATTACCCATTTATTCTTTAAGAATGTTCAATTTACAATCGACTGTTTTCAGCAAATCCGACGGCTAAATCAGATCCATTAGGCTGTCATGACGAGTAGATCACAGGACGTTTGGCTATTGAAATCTTGCCTTACTGAGGGATAGTAACCATCAAATTACTAAATCCCTTTCACAGATCCCATTTGATAGCGAAGCAAATGAACTAGACTGACGGGAAATTTCTAAACATTGGTGCATGCAGTCTTCCAAGAACAGCTCTTTTGTTGCACTTATAATGTCACTTCGCTGACACAATTCAGGCGGTGACCGTTGGCCCATTTGATGGATGAAAGCTTGAACAAGCCAGATTTTCTTGACGTACCTTCTCTACCTCTCAACCGCAGCAGATAACGTCCTTTGGGGTTGCGTGTTCCTCTGCTTGCTGGCAGGTAAAAGCATACAGACCCATACTCCCCTTTTAAAAGTACATCATCTCTTTTCTCTCAACAACCCTAGAAAGCCCGATCCGTAAATCCAGCACTGGTAAAGTATCGGATTTGTTCACGAAGTAAAACTTTCATGCCAGATATTGACCCAAGGGAACCCTCAGTCAGTTTTGACACTACAACGGAACTGATTCTCATCTACAAAATTTACAACTCTGCAGCTGACTTGCTGTATGATAGGTTAAAACTATCTTTTTTGACACAGATTATACGTAAATGGTGGGGGATACCCAGCGTGTGCGTCCAAATCAGTTAGGAAGCCCAGTAGTACAGGAGCCGTGGAAAGCCCAGTCATACAAATGAACCAATGTCCAGGGTGTGGACTCCCCTAGGTTCATAAAAGGTTGTCAGGTATAAAACAAATCGTGCAGCTTTCAACGGCCGATGCCAAGATATCACCTGGAGTGTACGGCCGGCCAGGCAGTGACCAGACAAGAAGGTACATTATATATAAGTTAAACATATACAATCGGGGAAGAAAGCAATACTTGTTGGTTTCTAGGGGCGAGGTGGCCAAAGTGGTTAGAGCGCGAATTTACTGACCAGAAAGTCCGTGGTTCAGACCCACATCTATCTCTCGACTTCCTCTGTTTAGGCTTGGGCAACCTGGCAGTATCCCAGCCCTCGTGTCTCCTTCGTGTGGCATGGCAGCTAGGCACTGAAAGGGTGCTACAGCTGAACTAGTAACTAATTTTCATAGGCGCATGTATACAGTTGATAAGAGACCAGTTCATCCTCACTGGATAACCGGTTGATCGCTGTCACACAGGATAGTTTGTGGGTTGAAATTGAACCTGATCAACGCATCGTTTCGAGTCAAACGCAGATTCGGCGTTATCACGCTCACTAGATTCCCTGTTTTGCGTTTACGGTGACCAGGAGATTAGGGCCCTGACGGTCTCTGTTGCGATCTACACCACACTTAGCCGCTTACACAGATCTGCAAGTGCGAAGAAGTCAATCGAACAACCCTCATTACACGTTCATACAATTACCCATCACATGAATTCACTTACGGTAAACCTATCACCACGACCATACGATCCAAAGGGAGGAATCCAGATTGATGGTCACTCTTCCTTCGAGTGGGCTTACCCTCCTGAAAAGAAGCTTGTAGGTAGTGTCATCTGAAAGACCGGAGAACCTGTAGAAATCTAGGTCACTCGACCTCTCTGTGCTGGGCACCACTACTGTGGGCTGTCAGTTCCGAAATACGAGGGTATGATTCAACTCGGTGAAGAAGATGGGAAGAAAGTCTCAACAGTTGAACATTAGCTGACAAGGTTTATTCCTATGTCCATATCTTTTACTGCCGAATGCTCTTCATCGGGGCGAACCCACACTTTGCCATCCGATGTCTGTCCTCCGGACACCGAAATGGAGGCCTTTTTGTCGTGACTGATTGAGTCCTTACCAGAGGGGTCAAGGTTGATTGTCGATCCATGAGAACACCTTGGGAAAAATTCTGTTCGCGGTCTTAAATCAGCTTATCTGTCATACGCCTTCAGATTTACATAAGTGGAAGTTCTGTTCCTCAAATGCTCCATAAGAGTGCCGTAAATATAGCAACTGTTCTCCATGAACCAGTAACATGGTGCATTCCCATGCACATTCGGATAAATGATTGAGTGCTTTATACTACTAGGACCAGACAGCCTCCCAGCTACCAACGTCCAACATCCCAATGAGAGCCAGAAGAGTGTATGTCAAGCAGTTTGAAAAAAAACATGATATCTTGAAGCTTTAGATCTCGTTTCTACTCACCCCTTCGCTTCCATTACGTCTGCAAGTGTAGTTGTTTACAGGTGCACTGGAGACGGGTCCTCAGCAAACGCAAAGAGCAGTGCGATTTGGTGATTTTCGATTATTTATCGTGTTTTATAAGCACCATTAACGTGATCACCGTCCGAAACGTGACAAAATTATCACCGTATTCTATCAAAGGTAAACGAAGGATCATGTGGTACATAATCCACTTGTCGACCGCTACCAGTCATTTTTCACGTGACACCGTGCTGATGCTGTTGAGCGCTCAAGTTCGAAGAAAATATGCTCTAGTTCATCACGTTCCCCTCATCACCGTAATCCGCCACCTGTAAACGGAAGATCACATGGCACGTAGAACGGAAGATCATGTCGCATATATACGATTCCGAAAAATCATGTTCCGTATCACCAGGCCGTTATCAGGCTCCACTCATCATTCTAATCCGTCACCGGTAGGCGGAAGATCACGTGGTGCATAATCAATATACTGACATCCACCAGTCGTGCTTCACGTGCCCCTGTGCTGGTATTCTGTGGCGTTTTCTTTTGAAAAAGCGTGCTCCTTGTTCATCTCTTTTGAAATATAGAGCGGCAGATCTGTCGACGTTAGAAGCGAAAAGTTACCCAGATCAACAGAAACATCAAATTGGCGT